CAGACAGAATCCAAGTATATGGAGAGCCGCTGTTGGTGTCCGTTTTTGCTACTCAAGATTCCAAACGGGGTCTCTCGGAGAAAGAAACACAGAGAGAGAGAGAGAGAGAGAGAGAAAACATCGCATGAGCATACTGAGTCATTCCGTTTGTTTCTGTCCGACTGGCTTGCGCACAAAGGTGACCTGCAAGTGGCCGAAGATTGCACCCGCGTCCTTGCCTTTGTCATGGCTTTTGCTGAGGCGGCAGGCTATAAATCCAAAGCAGGAGTGCCCAACTAGACATCCGGACACCCGTCGTAAGTTCAGTTTGTAGGAGATGCGGATGACGATGCTCTTTCTGACGATGAAGACACCCAGAAAGCTCCAGTGAAGAAGGACCCGCCCCATCCTTTTTGCAGCATTTGTGCCAGTAAGCCCCAGCGTGCGAACCCAAGCCTGCTCGAAAGGAGTTGGTCCAATGCTTTGAAAAGGTGGCCCGTGACATCCACTTCGTCATTACCCGTGTTCACTCAGGTGAACGCACCATCTTGAGAGTTCTGCAGACTGGAGAGGACTTAGGGAGGAAAGTGCAAGAAGCCGGGAACGTCCTCCCGTTTTTGTTCGCCAGCCGATTGTTCCAGCCCCACGTCTTTATAGTATAATCATAGAAACGCTTTATCCAATTCTTGAGCTTTGGGCAGGTTGTCCTGGTTTGCATAGCGCGTTTTGAGGTTGAAGGCCTCTTTGGCAGCTGAGAACCGTGGGACCAATGAAGCCGTTCTTGAAGAGCTGAAGAAGATCACAGCCTCGTCCACAGAAACCAAAATCCGTTCTGTGGATCCAATTCAAAAGCTGTTGAGCCTCTTGGAGAAATCGACAAGGGCAGGTGTCCGCCAGCGGATGCAAAGTTGTCAGATTGTGGATGGCGAGAGAACATTCATGTCCAAATGGGCAATCATTTGCAGAGCGCCGCCTGGCGACCTGAACAGACGTGTGTGTTGTGTGATTGTGCGCCTGTCTTCCACATCCCAAGCTAGTCTTAGTGATCGGATATCGAAGTGTATGTTAGATGTATATACTGTATAGCACTTGCGAAACACCCTTTGGAAGATGCAAGCTCAATGAGGAGCTCTTTGATCAAGACGACCGAGGAGTACCGTTTTGTAATGATCTTCATGTGTGAGGCCCCCCGCGGGAGTATCAATTCCAAGAAGTCCTGCTGGCATTGCCTCATTGAAGTTTGACCCAGGCCATGAGGCCCACGCGCCTCTCGCAATTCCTCAAGCTGGCCCACAACTTCCAGAACTTTTTGCAACTTACCCGAGACCAGTGTTTGGAGGTGCTTATGCGTTTGCAGTGCAGCATTGATAACATTTTTTTGAGCTGTGGAGGTCACGCAGATGCTGCTGCTGAAGTTCAAAATGTTGAAAGCCTTAGCAGATTTGCCTCGTTTGCCAGCTGCCTTTCAAGAATACTTAAAGCACGCCATGGATCCAGAAAAGTGGTCTATGGCCCCTCATGCACTCATGGGCGCACAGGCTCCTGAGGTGTTCGAATTGGCGCAGCTTGTGCGCCGATTCATGACTGGGGAGCATGACCGAATCTTGCAGGCAGCGGTCAACAACAGCCAAAAGGACCGGGTGATTGCTTGTGGCCAATGTCGAAAAGCAAAATCTTTTTGCATTCCGTTGCAGGAGTCGCACCCAGAGCTGCTGAATTTGACGAAGGGTCCCATTGACAAGTTCAAAATGTCCACCATGCCATCGCCGCTAGCAACAGCAGAGCCACCGTCGGCTGAGGCGCCTGACGCCAACGCCGAACCTGAGCTGGCAGCAGACACCGACGGTGAGCCGGTGGTGGAAAGCCTTTCAGAATCCACTGCCCAGCGAAAGTTCTTGGAAGCGGCAGCCAAGGCCGGGTTGACTCCACCTCCTGACATGCTTGCCACTTTCTTTCGTGCTCGTTGAACTTAACTGGGCCTGATGCGTCATTTTTGGCAGGAAGAGATGGCATTTTACATTCATTTCTTGATTGGGGATCTTGAAACTCCTAATGGCCGAGCTGCTGTCCACGATGCTCTGAAGTCTCACTCAGTGCTGCAAGGGTCGGAGTCCAAAGTGTATTTTTTCGACCCCCAGCTCTTCGTGGAGCCGTCAGGGTCTTTAACTAGGTGGCATAATGTATACATGAAGACCCCTGTGCTGCTTGCTTTGCAAATAAGTGGTGTTGACAATATCACGCTAAAGAAGAGGTCTTGAGATTTTGGAGCCACCCCAGGTTCCACAAAGTGGCGTTTGGAGCATTCAAAAGCTTGTTTGAAGCCTTGGCAAGTCCGGATGATATCATTTTGACTTTTGATGCTGGCAGCGCAAAAGCCACAGCAGAAATTCGCAAAGCATTCAGCGCGCTAGATTTGGGGCCGCAAAGCACCTTGACACAACTTTCCTTGTGATGTTCTGCCACACATTTGCACCGCGCTCAATGTTTTGTTCGGCCGACCCCATTATATGAGGCATGTTGCTGCTGCCAGACCAAGAATCCCTCCAAGGACGGCGCGACTACACGAAGAAAAGGCAGTCGCTCGCTGAGATTACGTGTGCAGTGTTCATACATGATGAACAGTGTGCCACCCCTCTGCTCTATCAGGTCAGACCCCCAGGCAGCTAAGCGCCGCAAGGTCAATGCCGCTTCTGACTTGAGCGCCGTTGCTGGGAGGGAGAACATGTTTTTTTGGACGGAAAGAACCATTGCCAGCGCGGGAGCATAAGTTTTTGCTGTCTGCTGGCTTCACCACCTCAGCAGTCCCTTGCATCATAGTCCCTTTGCCCAGCCCAGCCGATTTGTACCGGTGCCGGAGAGATGCGAAGGAGGAGGCCAGTTGTGCAGATTGAAGTGTATGCAAGTTCCTTCTCATGCCTTGTGTGGTACTACACGATTTGTCTTCAGACGATATGTCTTCAGATGCAATTTTCTTCCATAGCGTCTTTCCGCAGTCCATGAAGCCAGCGAATAGCAGAAGCCTCGTGTCTGACGAGAAGCCCGAGGTGTTGTGCGGCGTGCCACTTTGTTTCCTTTCTGTTTAAATGGTCAGACCTGCTGGCAGGTCATCGACCCGGACCTGGAAGCAGATCAGATGGTTCCACTCTCCATGTTTGAGAGGCAGGCTACATGCACACAGCTAATGTTGCAGTTCAGCACATTCCTTCACGCACTTAAGTGTTTTCAATCCTTTCGATTCCTTTTTTTTGCCTTGCCGAAAGCAATGTTGTTTTTCCAAGGCGCCCAGACGTTTATGGGATGATGCTCCACACGATTTGGGATCCAAAGCGAGCAATTTGCTTCACACCTGGAGCGGGTGGTTTTGCTGTGCAGTGTTTGCGGGAGAGAATTCCTGTCATCCTTGTAGTTCGGTCGCTTCGCCACCGCAAGGTTGTTTCCAAGGCAATCTTGGATGCACTCGAGAAAGCAATTGCAGACCCGAACGATGCCAGGTTTTTCGTGTGTGGAGTGGCGCTAGCCAGAGTGCGCAGGCCACTCAACCAAACCGCAGAAGCCCAACTCGACCCGAACCTGTGCCTGCAGAGTCTTCACCTGCAAAGGTGCAAGGTGAAAGTCAAGCCGATGAACTTGACCCAGAAGAGTCAGCCAGTTCTTGCGGCACACCCTCCACCAGTGACAAGGAGGAGTGAGTGCGCGCGTCAGTTTGCGCAAGTGAGCTGTAGGGAATGCCAGGCCGGCGCAGTTTTGTCCATGCCAAGGGCTTTTGATTTGATCGTTGCTGCTGGAAGTGCAGTGTGTGGCTTACAAAGCCGCCGATTGGGTTACCGTTCCGTTCAGACAACGACCGAGCAAAGCATACAGTTGCATTTTGTGACAATTATGTTCTTTTCATTTTGTTTTGGCTCGGAACATGTCTTCTTGCATCGCCTGGGGAGATTCATGCTTCTCGCGCTGCTCAAGTGGAGGCATCCTTCATGTTGCGCAGCAGTTTGGGCACTTTGTGTAAGGCACTCTTTGATCACGCATCTCCGTTCGAAAGCGAAAGAATGAATCGAGTCGGCGATCTCTTTGACGGTGGCCGCAGATTTCCAAACCAGAGCTAGTGGTGGCAGGCAAATGAAAAAAGAAGTCACATGGCCGTGCCAGAGTGTGTGATTTGAATGTGTCGCTGTCACTGTTGCATGGTTTAAGGCCCCCGACCCCTGAAGGTCACAAGGTCTGAGACCCCAGTAGTGGAAATGTCCCCCAAAAGGTGATCCCAAGATTAAATCATTTCATGACTTCATCCGATCGGGAAGGATACGAAGAGGGAAGGAACCAAGCAAAACACTATGGGGGACCCCCTCTCCTTTGCTAGAAGAAGCTCTTTAGATGAGGGTGCTACAAGTAATTTTCAGAAGATCTTTTTCGTGGGTGTGCTTTGGGATTCTAAATCATGTGGGCTTGGCTTTCAGGGTCCATGGGTCCAGGGAGCATTGAGTTGCACTAGAGGTACGGAGAAAGAGACCTATAGGTTGAAACCTCCATGCCTTATTTTGTATTACGAACAATGTGCTCCTGTTTTTCATTCAGCTGGCAAGCTGCCACAGGCATGAACTAACAATGCACCAGCCTGAGCAGCAGGTGATTTGGTAGTTGATTGGAGTTCGACAAGGAGGTGCAAGACAAGCAGCACCAATTCAATCCAACTTTTTGGGCAATATACCACCCCTTTAGGATGAGTTTTGCAATATACCACCGGTGAAAAACTCTTCTGGGCAATGTTACCATTTGGCCCACCTTCTTCGGCCATTTGTCTTGCAATACAAGCCGCCCACCCCCTGTAAATTCAACAAGCCGCCATTAGTTTGGCGTACCGGCTCTCTTCTCTTTCTTCACCAATCCAACATCCCGTGGTTCTGTAGCAGGTTGAGTTTTCTCTCTGCTCGCAGGACCGTATCTTTTCATCAAGATCACAGACCAGATTAGATCGCAGGGAGCAGGCGCTTCTTTTACCGGAGCCCGATTGATTTCTTGAATGGGGTTGCCCAGAAGCAATTGAGGACGGATACCTAGATGTATTCCGGCTTTCAAATCTATACAACCCAAGAAGCTCCTGAGCGCGAGGCGCTGTGCTGATGGTCCGCCCTGCAAAAACATCCGCCGAAGCGGTCAAGCCTCTTGGCAAGGATGCCATCTCTTGGCTGAAGGTGGGATGGAATGTGATGACTGTGTTTTCTTTGTTCTGGGTAGTTCGGATGGTGCGCTACGTGCGTCCGCCATTTGTCGCGTCTCCGAGAGAGCCAACAAAATAACGTAGTTGTTTCTGGCTCGTGCCTGATACGTCGCATTTTTTTGGGGGGTAGAAACCAACGTTGTGGATAGAACCGTGTTCACCCTATTCCATAGTAACCCTGATATAGAGGTTCCTTTTGTGTTTTTTTTGTTTTCTTTTTTGTGTTGTGCATGTTCCTTCATTCGTGACGTCGTTTCCGTGCCGCGCCCTCTCCGCTTCGTCGCCGGTCGCTGGGGCACTGCGGGCACCACACAAAGAGTTTCACATCGCGGGTTTGTGGAAAAGTTTGGAAAGATGGAACCCAGCTGGCAACCCCCGGCAGAAAGTTTAGAACCAGGCCAACACTAGGGTCTTGAATTTGGTCTACTTGTGGCAGTGGAGGCGCAATGTTTCCATCAACCATGAGTTGAAGGATCGCCTCGGACCGGTGCTGGGGAACTAAGAAAGACCGCTGGTGCCGGATGCGCCCTTGGCTCGAAAAACTTTCCCCACAACTTTTTTAAGGCTCTCCAAAATGGGCATTTTGCAAGCCTTCTCCTTGGGAAAACACCGGACTTTTCATGCGTCCGGCGACATTTTTTAACACATGTAGTGTAAATGCCAAAAAAACACGGACTAAGACCACACAAAGAAAACGCGCGGACAGTTGCAGGGTGGCATATCAGGTGCGAGCCTTGTTTTTCATCTCTAATCCAAGAATTTTCTGGGAGGTTTCTTTCGGCCCACCCACTGAGTCCCTTCACCCCACGAACCTTGGGGGCTAAAGCCACGCCAAAGATGGCGACTGATATGTTGTGTTGTGGTTTGTGAGTAGAGTCGTGGCCATATAGACACACAGGTGGTGGATGCTACCAAATCTCCCTATCAACGCGCAAGGCGCGCATATAGTTATATACCTTTCTATACCTTAACAGTTCCTGCAGCGCTGCCGGAATCTGAGTGTTGTGGCGCATGACAGGTTTTAGGTTTTTTTATCACGTGCAACTTGTCTGCAAGCGCACTGCCCCACAGTTCGGATGTCGTTGCGGGCGGCCCACCATTCCATTTTAAAAGATGAGAAACCCTTGAGGGCCACAGCCCCAATTCGCAAAAACTTGAGAAACCTGCCTCGAATGGTTGGTTGGTTTTATTGTGAGCCCAGATCCGTGGGCTTTTTTATCGACATCTTTTGCCACTCAGGGCTTGGTTGCAAGGAGGCGACGAGAACGCTGGAGGTTGTGTGCGAGAGGCTGCCCACGCCCCTTGCTCGTGAGTATGTTTGGTGTGATTGCACAGGTTCATTTGAAGCGCTTCTAGTGTGGGTTTGTTTCCTCAAAGAGAGGGTGGTAGCAGGTGGCAAATGATGTTCTGTGTTGAGGCTGTGAAGAATTGCAGCTCCAAGAAGGCTGTGCGCAGTTGCTACACCTTCACTTTCAGGGGCTGGAACTTCAAGCGGCTGGCTTGCTTGCTTTTAGCTTCGTATTTCCTGTACCGGGAAGACTTGACGCAGTGCGGTTCAAAGGAGCTGAAGGCACTCCTTTCTTTTGAGAACCCATACTTGGAGCTTTCCAACGGCAAGCCTCTGACTTGGCTGACTGCCCTGCGTGGGACCTCTGCCCATGCTGTTTCGAAAGAACCAGGCACCGATTTCAGTTTTTG